GTGCATGCAGCGGCTGGGTGGTGATGCAGTGGGGTGGCGTTTAGACAAATAACACCGACACTATATTGCATGCAGCTCCAACAAAAACAGAATAATTATTTTAAATAAATAAAATAATGTATTATACTCAAAAAAAATATAATTTATTTTGCACAGACGAGGAGGTGGACGAGCTCTCCCCTTCTCGCTGGGGGGTTCAGATGCTCTTCTTGTGCAGCAACAGAAACTCAGCAGCAGTTAGAATTAAGAATAACATAAAGTGCTGCAACTTTCAATGAATGCAGCAGCAAACACACGAAGCAAGTGGAGTGTACAGCCGTTCACTCTGCTGCTGCTGATCTTCCGTAGTTGCTTGCTTCTCCTGCTGCTGTTCATCGTTGGTTCGCTTTACATGCATGTGAAGCTACTGCTGCTGCTGCTGCTGCTGCTGTTGCTGTTGCCGCTGCTAGCTCCGCCGTTACTGCTGCTGCGGCGCTTACTCTGTGTTGTGCTGGAGAGGTTGCAACAGTTGCCTAGCGTGTGTTCAGCTTCTGCTGCTGCTGCTTTTGTAGCTCCGACTGCTTAGAGTTGAGAAAGTTTATGTATAGAGCGAGTACGAGCCGGTTGTGCCCATCACTATGAGTTTTTTGTTTTTTTCGTGTTGAATACATGCTAGTAATATACTGGAGTCAAGACACGCTTGATTAAATAAAATAATATATATATATAGTATATATAATATATATGTAATATATATATTATGTATATGTATCAATGGCAGGGGGAGAGAGGAGATACAGAAGCGGCGCAGTTGTTTCTTATGTTTGCTTCCTTATATATGTAAATACTCTAAGGCTAGCAATATAAAACAAAAACAATAAAACTATTTTTATTTAGGGTTTGTTTGTTGCTGCTTTGGATAGCTGCAGATGCTCCTATCATAGGATTACAGCATTCAAGGGTTTAGGGTTTAGGGTTAGATTGGGGGGCCCCAACCCTAAACCCTAAACCCCCCTTCCCGCCACCAGCTCGCTGCCTGCTGCTGGGGTTTAGGGTTTAGGGTTTACGCAGCAGCTCGGAAGAAACCTAAAACCCACAAACAGAAGAATATATTTTCGGTTTGGTTATTGTGTTTTTCTCTTTGTGTGCATCTCTAGGATATGTATTTTAGGGTTTAGGGTTTAGGGTTTACACCTTCTACGCTTCAGGGTTTAGGGTTTAGGGTTGCTAAGCCCTTTTAGAGAGGCTTAGGGTCTAGGGTTTAGGGTTTGAGGCATTATATACGAACCGTGCGTCCTACGATAAACCCTAAACCCTAGATGTTGGGTGAAGGAGAACACAAACAAAACCACCAGGCGCTCGACAGTAAACCCTAAACCCTAAAAACCAAGAATAAAACCCTAAACCCTAAACCCTTAACCCTCACTTGTAGACCCTAAACCCTAAACCCTAAACAAGCTGATGCCACGGATACTAGCAATCCAAAAGCTGAGACCCCACCCTTAAACCCTAAACCCTAAACCCTTGAACCCCACCCGTCAGCATCTTAATCCCTAAACCACAACCCTCTAAGNTAAACCCTAAACCCTAAACCCTTGAACCCCACCCGTCAGCATCTTAATCCCTAAACCACAACCCTCTAAGCCCCCAAACAGTAAACCCTAAACCCGTACATCATTCAGTTGTAAACCCTAACACCACTAAACCCTAAACCCTAACAACCTCTAAACCCCCCTGACCCCAACCCTAAACCCTAAACCCTAAACCCTAAACCCCAGAGAAAGTTATGCAGCAGTGCACGGACCCCTCATAAGGAGCTTGTCTGGCATCTGTTGAGGCCACTGGCGTGGGTGGAGAGAATTGTTAGGAAGATTAAACAAAGAAAAACAAAGTTTTCGGTGTATATATTGTTCTTGTTCAGCTAGCTGGGGTGTAGCGGCTACTTGTTGAGGGGGTGAATGCTGCATATACGGCTAGTTATGGAGTTAATTTGGATGAAAAGAAGAAATAAACTAAATTAAAAAAGAATATATAATATATTTCCACAAATTTTCAGAGAAAGCTCAGCTGCACGTTCCTGGCGGCTGCGGCTGCCGCTGCGGCCCCCCTGCATTGTAGCTGCAACGATAGAGGGAAATAGTAAAATATAAACTTCTTAGTAGGGTCTTTTCATGTGTTTCGTAATTTAATTCTTCTTCATCGGTATTCTTATTACTATTGAGCCGCATATAATGCGCCGCCGCCTGCAGCACCCAGCAGCTGCTTGCATGCACGAGAGTTCATATACACCCCAGCTGCTGCCACCCCTGCAGCACCCCGTTTCCCCTTCCCTCTCTCTCCTCCTCTCCTCCTCCCTCATGACAGCAGCACCAGAATAACCGACTGTACACGGAGGGGCCCCCCTTCAAACCCCAGGCCCTCTCGTATTCTCTCTATATCGCCGGGGGTCTCGAGGGGGCCCCCCAGCGGCTCAAAGGCTAGGGGGCCCCAGGGGGCCCCCCAACCCAAGATGAAACGTCCCCTGCATGCTGCAAACCTCACAGCCGGTGCAGCTGCCACAGGGGGGGCCCCTCCTCACCAGACGGCTGTACTCCCTTTTGGGGGCCCCCTAGCTTCTTTCAAGCCAGGGCACCGGGGGCCCCTGGGGCCCCTAGGGGCCATGGGGCCCCTAGGGAATCAGCTGTACCCTCTGGACTCCGCCGTTATATGTGAGACGGAGAGAGGGGGGGGCTTGCAGCAGCGAAAGCTATCGAGAGGGGGGGCCCCCCTTGGGGGCCCCCCTCCTCCTCCGCGCATCGGTAGCACTGAAGTGTACAGACACCCCGCTGCACAGCCTGGGCCTCCTGCTGCTGAAGTGATAACAGTTGATGATGACGATGAGGAGGAGGAGGATGAGCTTCCTGCTGCTTCTTCTTCTGCTCCGGCGACTGCTTGTAGCAGTGCTCAGCAGCATCAGCTGAACGGCACCAGCAGCAACAGCAGCAGCAGCACTAGCAGCAGCAGCAGCAGCAACAGCAGCGAGAAGAACTCCGTCAACGTTGCTTTACGCTGCGCCAGGGGGAATGACATTGCTGCTGAGGATGCATCATCTAGCAGCAGCAGCAGCAGCAGCAGCAGCTATTCTCCCGTTGCAAGTAGTTCTGCTGCAGCCTCTTCTTCTCCTTCTTCCCCTGCTGCTGCTGCTGCTGGTGCTGCTGCTGCTGCTGCTGCTGCTGCTCGGCCGTTCAGCGGCGCACACAGCAAGAGTGTATGGATTCAGGGGCGTCAACGCCCCGAGCAGCTGGAGCGGTATTTGTTAGATATAGAGAAGAAAGAAGCAGTGGGTAAGGTTTCTATGAGGGGTGTTGTGTTTCCATCAGCAGCAGCAGCAGCAGCGTTTGTTGCTGCTATATCTAAGCTGCCCCGTATTACTTCTCTTACATTCAACTCACCAGAGATGCCCCACGATCAACTTGCTGCTGTCTGCTGCGGTGTATCTACATGTCGTTCTCTTAATCATTTCGACTGCAACGCTATAGGAAGCAAACCTATGCCTCCTGCTGCTCTTCAGCTGCTGCTGCTGCAGCTGCAGCAGCTACCTGATCTACGAGAGCTTAACCTCTCAGGCAACGATTTCGGTGCTGCTGCTGCTGCTGCTGCTGCTGCTGCTCCTATTTCTGCTGCTGCTGCTGGTGGTGGTGGAGGGGGAGGGGGAGGGAGTGTCACTGCAGCAGCAGCACCAGCAGCAGCAGCAGCAGCAGCAGCAGATGGTATTGAGTTGATAAAGGGTCTTCTTCTTAGTGGTGTTCTCTGTCTGCTAGCGAGAGAATGTAGCTTCAGCTGCGTGCTGCTGCAGCAGCTGCTGCTGTGGGTCCTCAATAGCTGCCACTGTCTGCGGCTGAGACAAATAGAGCTGGGGGCCTCCACCAAGATACTACACTCTATCTTACCGGGAGAAGTCTTCGATGAAGAGGTAATATATATATATATATATA